TCAGCCTTTAACAGAAATGAGTACCGGGAATTAATTAAATAATTTTCCTGGGGAGTAAAGCGCGGCCGGCACGTAAGGCTGACCTTACCGCCATCTGTAAGCCGATTGTCTAGATAATGTGGGAGATTCAACGTCTCACAACCCTATGGGCCTAGTACGGCCTGGTACAGGAATAGCTTTACTTTTTTTTACACCTTAGCATCGAGTGACAAGACGTGTGGGTAATGATGAAGGCTGTAAATGGAAGGGTACGTCACCTAGTTTAGGGTAATGTCCTGGCATTTGCCTTGGACTAAGGAGAACATGATCATCCTGTTAGCATAACCGGTCTTTGGACCGAGATCTGAACTCGGGGCTTCCCAAATATATAGAGTATCGTTCGCTCGGGTGCGACATTCAGTCCAAACTATTTCGCTTATTAATAAGTGGCTACTCAGTATCAACTGAGTATGGAATTTGATTAAAAAGCAGTTTGGTTAAGTGCTGCCACAGCTGACATGCTCGAGAGGAATAATTCGATTCTTGACTGCGCAACGGCTGCGTATTGCGCTTGAAACAAATTTTAGAGCATTTCCCATGTCTTTTCTGAAAGACCAAGTGAAATAAAATCCGTATCTTACAAACGCTCACCAAAAGAAGACCATAACTACGATTCCACAACCAGAACCCAGGATTAAACAACGAAAAAACAGGACGATAACCTGCACAGCAATATAAAAGGCACAAACAAGCCATAAGGGAAAATCAAATAGTCCCTATTGCATCTACAAAGAAAAACACAATAAAACAACTTAACTAAACCTACATCTACGAAGGAGAATACATACATTGTAAAATTAAATTAATTTAGAATTGTTGGATAACATTACGTGATGCATTATAAAGTTTTAATGGCTAACATTTTAACAAGGCCGTATATATAAAGAGTATGACGTTATCAGTGTAAGAAACCCCACAATCTAGAATAAACATAATCCATATTTTTACACAGGAAGCTCTACTGTGCATTGTCAAAGTTGGTATTCGGTACGCCCACAGTGGGAAGATTGTGAACGTGATTTTCATGGCGAAAGAATTAATTTTGGCAGGAGATAAAACGCAAGCAGACCAGCAAGCTGCCCCTGAACTCGCAGGAAATGCAGGTATCCATGCTGTGCGTTGGAATACCGGGAAGGCTTTGGCACTGCACGGAATTCCCAGAACTACAAGCCAGCTGCAGGCGGTGACGTAACGTCGAGCGGGATGCGGAAATGGCGTGTGCATGGCAGAGCTGGAAAGTGGTGAGAAATGGCAGTGGCCTGTTTCAATTTGCTGTCCCGAAGTTTGCTGGAGGAATTCAAGTAAAATCTAAAATATTTGCAGATACTCGAAACCGGGACCTTCAGTTCATAAGAAGACAACTAACGGGCCCCTGAATAATTTGCTTCATTTCTGTTGCAACCACTCACTTAGCTGTCACTTCTCGCAACCGTTGGGCGCCACTTCTTGTGACCGCCCCCTTTCTAGTATTGTATTTATTTATTTATTTGTTTGTTTGCCCGCTTCGGTAGAACACTTGACTCTTCTCAGGGTTGTGTCACGGTAATAACTGGGGCAACGCGGAGACTACACATTAAAGGCTAGTCCACTGATACAAATCAAAGACACTATTTCTGCTTAATCACAAATTTGTTTATTTCAGAAGCAAACACTATAACTTTATTGGCAAGTGCGGAGTAATGTGCCCTTTTTATATTATCAAAGATTAATCGAACCAAATAGACTGATAAATTTAGATATACTTGGAGAGCGCAGCCCAATTACGTCTGCCTATGGTGAACTCAAAATGTCAAGTGCTTCTGCCCACTCTATCCTGCGGGAGCGTCACTTCATCCGCTGTATAGGATTTGAACCGACGGCCTTTCTCCCAGAGAAGAACAGTTTCCTAATGGCTGATTTTAACTGCCAATTCATCATACCATCAGTACTAGACAATCACATTACTAACTTTGAGAATAAAGAGATCCAAAGATATTGAACCCGGAACCCTACATGTGAAAGCGGTTATTTCTTAGTTTAGGGTCTAATTACACCCTTCCGAAGACACTTTTATAACAACTACCCTATTAGCAAAACAACATTTACATGTTCGGCAAACTACAGACATGTCTTTCCGTGATATCCTCGACCCTTTCCGGTCACTCAAGCTGCAGGTAACAAAACAAGGCAGTTGTTCCTGTCCAAATGCGAAAAGCAAGTTATTACTTCTTAATGGATGGGTCTCCCTTATAAATCAGTCACTCTATTGAAATGGCTAAAGAGGAACATAGCGTCCATTAAAGAGTTTTAAAAGGTTTGGACTGTTACACTGTATCACTTGATCAGCTGCTTTGAGGAATTAATTAAATATGCATAATTAAAAACTGAGCATAATTAAAAACTGAACAAAATTCGGTTTAGGAGTGCGAAATAGTGTCCTCTGTTTCTGTTTAAAATTTTTGAAAAGGATCTGAGATTCGAATACCTTCTGTAACTTTTCTGGTAGTTACGGCGGAGAATGTTGACACTGTGGTCTTATGGGTTGTGACACAGTGCCACCATTCTGATGGACCCTAGTGTTCCGGATGTTCCCTAGGCCGGGTTCTGTCCCCTCTCCCACGTTGTAAAAGTTACCAACTTCCTAGCAACCTGCTTATACCAATTAACCGCATCTTCAACCTTCTCACTTAGATCAGGTTCTGAGAGACTGTTTTCCAGCCCTCGGGAATGCTGGTGTTTGGTTTAACTCTTCGATGTCAGCTGCTGTGGTTTTCAGTAGAGAGCTCAGGTCAAAGAGACGTGTGTGTCTGATGATCATACAGTCCTGAAAGATGAAGAAATGAGGAGCGGACGGGCACGTCGTATTTCCTGAGCGCAGTTGATGTCAAATGCTCAAAACCCTTGAGAAGCGTCACGAGGGCTTCGTCACCCAGTCACCGCAGGCAAGTTCGGTGATGGACTTCGGGTGCAATGGCCTCGTTAACATTTTGAAAACACGTCACATTTCTTCAGAGCCTCGTGGTGCCGGGGATGAATGTATCTGAACCCTGGAGGTGGCGAAGGAAGAGAGGGTCACCTCCTGCCAACACCTGGACGAAAAAGAGAAATTCGAAAGGCTGCTCGAGTGTTACAACAGGCGCTCTGCTATGTAGCTGAGTTCCCTGTTGTTCAGCGCAAAGGATATGCACCGCTTTCTTGCAAAGTTAGGGCCACCGTAATAGCAACGCCGGAGTCATGCCGTAGTGAGAAGTCTTCCTCTACTTCAATTGGCCACAGGAAGAGAAAATACACTTCCCGGGATCAGCAAGAAAGGGGAAAATGCCAGAACACACCAGCCAGCACCGCCACTTCCGGCCAGGAACGTCTTCGTATCGCTCAGGAGTAAGAAAATGGTTAGCGTTGGAGACCAGCCGGAGCTGGGAACAAGTACCGATCCAATAGCAACCTTCTTCGGCCGGAAGAAATTTGTGACAACCTCCCGCCCATACTGACTTCAGCTGTTAACCTCTCTCCTTCCAACAAAAAAGGATTAAGCCCCTTACAGGGAACCAATTTTCACGGCTGACTACGGAAGCCGATGATCTCATTGTCACCTACGGTATGCCCGATTACAATGCCATCCTGACCTACCTTTCCCAGGAAAGCATAAATCATTTTATCTTCCGCCCAAAGTCAGATAAGTTTGTCAAGACAGTTATCAGACTTCTCCCAGTGAATTCCGACTCTTAAGAATATCAATAAGTCGAAACCTATGGGGCCTATATGGCCTACATAATGCTACAACTGCCAGCGTCTCGCCCACAGCTCCCAGAATATCTCTGGTGCAGGGTGTCACAACCCAGACGACCACAAACAGAAACATTTTGTTAACTGTAGACACGAAATAAAAGGAATAAAATGCTAATTGTATCGCAAAAATTTGGTTGCATGGCTCGGTTATGAATTCTCGCAATTATCACCTAGACTTAGAAATAGATCACACGAACTCAAAGAAGGAAACGGCTTAATATAATCCACGAACTGAAGACAACCACCATTCCATAAATATCAGTTTGAAGGGGTTACTTCCATACAAATAAAGTGGATAAAATGAACGCATGATGACGGCGTATTTGTCTGTCCAACCATCAGCATATTTGAGTTCCGATCCTACAGAAGGATTTTCCACACATTCTGTATGCTGTATCTCTACACAGAAGTAGTCGAAGGAAATAAATTTTGTCCTTTATGCTGAAATAAAACTATTTCACACGGACCTAAAATGGAGCATCATTTTTCTCAAAACTAATTTGTTCAGCTTACAAAACATTCTTAGTTATCCCATAAAGTTCTAGAACTTTAATCTGGAACTTTGTTAATGCGGAGAATATTAAAAGAAATGCAAGGGAAATAATTTATTATCGTACACTGTATTTATGTTTTTAAATCAGAAACGGGTATAACGAGGGATTACGAACTGCTGTACAAGCAACCAGAATTAAATTTAGAAATTGTTATAATCACGTGTTGAATTATAATTAAATAAATTTTAAACCCAGTGCAACTGAAACGAAGCAACAATGAAAGACCTAATTTATCTGGTCGTCCTATCATACAACCCTCTTATCAGTCCGCCCGGTAATTAGACTTCACGTTATACATCCAACAGGCCTGGTAGGTACGCAGTAACTTCACCGGTTCTTGCATCATGTGGATAAACATCGCCCACTCAGCGAACGTGATAGTGTATTAGATGTGAAGTCATATCATAATCATATCATAGCCGGCAGAAAAATGTTTTTATGTACCGTTAGATAAAATCCGATCCGTATTCAGTGCAACAAAGAGTTCAGCTAGGACGAAACAGAACAAATCACAAGACACATTTCAATTGTTCTGGGTACCATTTTACCTCATTGGCTGATGCAACTACGTTTAATACTCTGACATTCAAATAAATAAACGTACGAAACACAAAAATACCTCAAATTTCATTACATTACCTTCTTTCCTTCTTGTAGCTTCAGGCTCGATACCCAGTTTGCATATAACCTCTGCTGCCGCCTTGAGAACAGTAAACACGCTAAAAATTAGTTCCTAATCCTGTCATCATAACTCGTAAGATGAAAGTATATATACAGATGTATCTATTAACTGTCCCAAAGCACATCCACCGTTTCACTGCAATTCACGAACTCGTCTGGTACTGGATCAGCTGTTAGGACAAGAAAAACAAATGCACAACTTAGAGGCGTCACTTCAGTGCGCCCACTGCCGGCCATCACGTGCTGTCACTTCGTTTTCAATGGCCAGAAGGGGAAGTGCACTGTCTGCAGAGGGGAGGGTTATGCTCACGGATAACATAAAGGTGCCGGTTTTATTGTCTCCGCTAGCGGTTGTCAGAATGCAGCACGGGCGCTGCAAAGGAGCAATAAGCATGAACAACTTCCGTTAACTGAGCCAATGATTATGGTTTTATATCTCTCTTAGATTTAGTAATTTATTTGTGGTTTGGCCGTGCCATTGCCAGAACGGTCAGCTACCGGCTTATTACAAAGGAGACCCAGGTTCAGTTCCAGGGAAGTCCATATGGAATATCTGATGGCACCGGTGCAGGCTTTTCTCCGAACAATGCCAATTTTGTTACTGCACCAGTGCTTCATGCTGGTAGGACATATATATGTATATGTAACAGTGAACAGTGGACTGGAAAGAATACGAGATGAAAGAGTCATTGTCACATTCTAGGTGCTATCCTGGAAATTTCCTAAACGAACTGAGGAAAACCACAACAAAATTCACTAAGGATAGTTGTGCCCGGGCAGAGGTGCGAACCAGACGCTTCCCGAATATAGGTTAGAAACATTATTAGTTCAGTCAAGTCACTAGGTTGAAGTTGGTGAAAGGGAAGTTGGTATAGGTTCATCTATTTTACAATGTGAAAAACAATTGTTTTATCTATTGTCCCGTTCTGCTGTGAGAGGCAGTTTGCTCCTACAGAGTCCCGACGTATGAATGCCTTTTCACAAGAGCCCACTACTAGTCCCTCTCCTGAGCCACATGAATCCAGTCTACATTCCTCCCATCCCGTTTTACTGCCGCTCTGCCATCTGCAATTGTAAATTATATCCCCGATCTTGAAAGTGTTTTCTTCTATTCAACTTTAAGGGGGCCCATTCTGGCTCCCGAGTCCGACTCTGCTCGGGTTCCAATGAGCCAAACTCGTCCGTGTGTGGGTCGCCACGCTCATACGTGTGTTGTGAAATTAATCCGAGCCCGGCTCCTCGCCGAGCCAGACTCGTACGTGTATGGGCCGTCTAAGACTAAAATTATGCATACATTTTACATACCTCCCATGTATGCTATAGGCCCAGCCCACTTCACTGGCTTATCCTAATTGTATATGGCGAAACTGCCCTTTAAATTAAGACGATAATTACAGGTACGTGCTTTGAACCGCAATCGTTGTTATCTTCTATCATGCTTGAGATTATTTCGTGATTTTCCCCAGTCTCATCACGGGAATATCACACAATTACGATGGGTAAACTTACACGTCCTTCTGTTCTTTCTTATTCTCTGCTTACTTAGCGACGCTACCATTAGCTCAGGATACATAGCGTCGAGTGGTTGGTTGGTCCATGAATAATGAACTGGATGGTAATGGAAAGAAAGCGGTCGCGGCCTACTTTAAGCTATTATTTGGAGGGACTGAGGAGAACTACAAAATACTTAAGTCATGATAGCTGGGCCGAGATTGAACCAGGTACCTCCAGAATAAGAAGTAGGAGTACTATTCACTCGACAGGAATGTTAAGTTACACGCCTTCTAAACTCCGTTAAGTATATGAGAGGCAGGATAGTATCTAAGATAGTATGCTGCTTCAAATAGGTCATAATCAACTCCTTCCAAATCCTTACTTTCCATTTGTTATCATCGTTTTGACTCATATGACACTATGGAAGTTATGAAGTTCTAACAGTGCGATTCAACAATTTAAGAACATGAAAAAATGCCGTATTCTGGGATGTGGCGCCGTGTAGATCTTATGTGAACCGACGTTCTTCCGAAACGTCGGTTCACACAAGATCTACACGGCGCCGCATCCCAGAAGACGGGATTTATCATAGTCGCCACCGTGAAAACCTCAGATCTTACATAATCTGAAAACATATCAACAACGCTGCTACTAGTACGTTTGACATCAGTCCACACATGATATGACTCATATCTTGGAACCCCCCGCCCTCCATCTGAAAACGCCGTATCACTTGCAGTGACGAAAGCAGTAACAAAGTTAAAAGTTGTCATTGACGAGACTGGGAAAATCAGCCGCTCCGAGCAAGAGCGTGGACCTACCCTATTTTGTATTAGTTTCCGAACGAGTTCTTTGCAATCTTGCAAAACTCACTGGCTCAGATGCCCATTTTTTGAGACACAGATTAGCCTACATGTTTACAATGCTAATAAACAGCAAATAAACTACACTATCGAGATGAGAAATATATAATATTTCTTGTTATAATGATTATGACCTATGACCTGTTTCAATCAAGAAGTTAACTTTTGAAAATACGCACCATAAAGACTCACGGTAGGACTCCTTGGCCCAGGGATCGGGCCATCGCAAGGCCTCTACCTGCACAAGACAAAAGAAGGATAGAAAAAAAAAACTAATATATACATTGATGCCCTGAGTTACATTCGAACCCATGGCTCCAGCAAGCAAAGACAGTGCGCACCTTACACCGTGTGGCTATTTACTTTCAATTAAATTCGTGTACCTTATCAGGAATCATGGGCACCCTTCTCCGTGGGGAGAGGACAGTGAGATTTTCAAGAAGGGGCAGCAGAAAATTTACACAACAAATGCCTAATCGTCCCCCCCCTTCCCCCCCCCCCAAAGGAAAAATAAAATATCTGGTGTCTGTGATGGAAATTATTTTGCAAGTTACTTCGTTTTTGAGAAAATTTTAAGTTTCATTTTAATTTGGTTTCACTTTGGAAGGATATGGGTCAATATCAAAACCGTCTTACCGGATGAGTCAGCACCAAACTCACTTAAAGCCATGAAACCGAACGCTGGGGACCAGTGGATGACACTTTTCCGTTATTTGCGAAGTCCCAGGTATCAGATCTCGGACCTAAAGCCAACTGTCCCGATTCTTGAAGGTCGTAAGTTATGGAAAATACGGGACAGTACACAACCTCGAATTGGGCCACTACCGTCTCCTTCCACGCCCCCTCCACTTCTGTATTTACTAACTAACCTTCCACTCGATGGTACAAATGTGAGATAATGAAAGTGATATTAAATAAACAAATAAATATTTAGAGAAAAATACGAGTAGTTGTAATTGTCTGGCCACAGAATTGTACAATACCACTAAGAGTGTATTTGTGAAATACGTACACTTCTCCATCGAAGAGAAATGAAGTGAGAGGAGGTTGGAGAAAACTGCATAATGAGGAGCTTCATAACTTGTACTCTTCTCCAAGTATAATTAGAATGATCAAGTCAAGGAGGATGAGGTGGGCAGGTCATGTAGCACGAAAGGGGGAGACGAGGAATGCGTATAGGATATTGGTGGGAAAGCCAGAAGGAAAGCGACCACAGGGAAGACCAAGGCGTAGGTGGGTGGACAATATTAGAATGAATTTTAGAGAGATAGGATGGGATGGTATGGATTGGATAAATCTGGCTCAGGATAGGGACCCGTGGAGGACTCTTGTGAACACGGTAATAAACCTTCGGGTTCCATAAAATGCTGGGAAATTCTTGAGTAGCTGCTGAATTGGCGGCTCCTCCAGAAGGGCTCAGCTCCATAAGTAAGTAAGTAAGTAAGTAAGTACACTTTTCCAGGTTGTAGTAGCTCTTCAGCTAGGTATGATTCATCCACAGTGCAAGACCAGCGTGTCGGATATTGTCTGTGTCTCCACTATCATTGGATGATAACATAACATAGAGTCCTAATAAGCTTTAAAGTGCTGTTTCATGTTGGGGAATATTGGGAATTTTCACGGAAGAATGTGATACTATTCCGGTATAAATGGACACTGCTTCACCTCGTTCCGTGGTCGACAGTTTTTTTCGGATTACGGAAACTAGCAGAAACATTTAATTTAAAGTGGCTACTGTATAAATCTACTGCAAACGATATTCCTAATTGAGATAACTGAACTACAAATAGATTCACAACCTGCGTTCTGATGCATACACATTATCCTGGCATATTCTCTATCACAAAACGTCACTAACGGGAGCGGCTGGAGAGTAAACACCTCGGGGGAAAAAGAAATGAATCGGGAAGGAAAGTGAGATCGATCACAGAAGTCGCAAACACATTCCTCTGAAAAGAAACGGCGGTGCGCCTTCAGACCATTCGGGACGAATAGTCTTAAGGAGGGAACAATGTAACGAGAACAGACGTTGCTATGAAATAGACAAATAAAAAAACGGCCCTTTCTAGGCAACAGTTCGGTAAACACGCCTAAAACAATATACAAATAATTAGGAAACGGCGTTTTCTATTCAGTCTGCCCCGAGGCTATATAACGAAGACCCCAGTCGAGCTGAGATTGATTGAGATGCCAGTAAGATAACTGAGAAGATATAGCATCGAGAGAGTTGTGCAGTTAGCAGTTGCTGCAGAGAATTCGAATTAGGGTTCCAGAGTTGATAGCTGTCAATTTGGATTGAAGGAACCGATAACAGTTCTGCACTGGTGGCTGTGATGAGAGGACCTGTCGGCGGGTAGCTGAAGAATCTGCACTGTTAGAAGCCTTTGCCAGGAAACTGCTGGTTAATACACAGCAGGCTGGAAAAAGCTTAGCTAGTTCTCTGGTGATTTGTGAAGCGTGGAGATTAGCGATAGCGCTGTAATTACTTGTAGTTCCGTGTAATTTGTATAAGTTGTCAATAAATCTCCTCATCCAATCCGAAACCCGTGTATAGTTACACCCACCCTAAATCGTTGACAATATTTTCTTAGGCCAGGTCACTTGCCATTTATTTACACCTGAATCCCTGATTTATTGTGATCAAATCAAATTCCGTGGCCTGTAGTCCGCAAGCGAACTATACCTACCGAGCGACCATCGCTTGTCGAAGAAGTTAGTTCCAACTTTTGCGGATAGACGGTGTCACATGGTCAGCGCAACGGATCCCCAAGGCCGTTAATCTCGGTTTTCTAGACCGGAGCCGGTATTTCCTT